AACTTGTATGACCCAGTTGATAAAGTCTCTATTTTTTCTTCCCATGTTGAACTTTATTCTAAAGGCCTCATTAAACTCCTCTTCCGTGAAGGTTTCACTAATTATATTGTTCTGCCTGTAGATTATTATGGGAAGTTCCTCAGGAGAGATCTGGGCAGGGACAGAGTAGATCGCTATGTGGGGCAAACGTTTTTTCGGTCTCCTTACGAAGATGTCGGGTATCTCTTTTGCGATGAATTCTTCCAATCTGCATGCATCATGTTGATTACTGATGTCAATTGCCAGACCACCTCCTCCTATGTTACGTATTCTGTCAATCCCAATTCTCAGTTCGGAGGGTTTTACTTTTTCGTATATAGTTTTCCTTAATTTGTTGCAACTCTTCTCCTCTCCTTTATCGTAGAGAAGTAGAACATCGGTGTTGGTGCTGGTGGCGTTAGAATTGTTCGAGGAAATGACAGATCTCCCAGACTGGAGCACTGTGCTGTAAGATCTTTGAGCAGTTTTGGCATGGGGACTTATAGTGTGAAGGTGCTCCACTTTTGCACTGATAGTTTCCTGACCTTCCAAAATTTTTTGGATGGGGTTTTCTGCAATAAGTTTGTCTAATTTACGTGAAAGTCCCTCAACTTGAGTTAATGGGGTGTCCAGATCAAGTCTGTCCACTATATGGTCTAGATTGTTGCCAATCTGTTCGTTTCCTTCAGCAATTTTCTCAAGTTTTAAGTTGATTTCACTGATTTGTTTGTTCCGTTTGTTGTTGTCATTGTTGTTTATATATGTTTCGAATTTTTCTGTCAGGGATTGAAGCCTGTGGGGAGTGAAGTCTTCCTTAATGTTATCTATGGCGGGAAGTAACTTGTCATTTAATAGTCTGTCCAGCTTATCACATAGACATTGTAATCTGTGTCTGGTTGTGGAAGATGACCTTGGAGGGTGTAGAGCAGGCCTTGGTGGAGTAGATTCAGCAACTAGGATGGCACTGTGTGTTTGGGATTGGATCCGAATTTGTCCCTGGGAACCAGCTGATGGTGAAGGGAGGACCCCCTGTTGAGGTGGGAGATCTCTCTCCTTCTCCTTGACACGAGGAATGCAGTTTTCCTTAATAGTAGCGGTTGCAAGATCGATGACCTTTTGAATTTGGTTACTGATATATTTGATGTTTTGAGCAGAGCTCAAACGTTTGTAAGATTTGTCAGCACAGTAGCCCTTTGTTTCGTCGACTATATGGTAAGCCCGCTCCAGAAATGCCTCCAATATCTCTGATTCCATGGTGACTGAGAGCATAGAGAGACAGTCACACCAGGCAAAGGTAGCATGAACAGTAAGCCTCGGAGGAGAGAAAGTGCTCAAAAGCTCACCTCAAAGAGCACACCAAAGAAAAGTACAGATTTTGCGAGTCGATCGGTGTACATTAAATGATCCTGCTTACAAAAAAACCTTAAAACTATAAAAATTAAGTTACAAAGATAAACCGTTCAAACCCATAATACCGTTATTAGCCGTTAAAACCGTTAGAACCCTTACTAATTACAAGAAATTAAAACACAAAACTAAAATTAAATCCTGAGCGCCACGTGTATAGATTATTAATGTATATGATTTAATTATTATAATTTTATAAATAAAACAACTTATAAAAGTAAGAGATATCCTTACGAGATGGTTAAAGAACAATAGAACGGCCGATAAACGACCGTTAGAAAGACAATAACCACGACCGTTAGTCCTTTGTAACGAACAAAGAAAACCGAAACAAAGACTTCCCCAGAATGCTGAAGAAATAAAAGTATATTAAATCTAACTAAAACGGTTAAATTGGAGCCAAAAGAGATCAAATTTTTAATACTAAAACCTATAACCTAACGAAAACAACAGGATATAAGCAAGCCCCTTTCAATTAATTACCCCCGCAAAAACCGACCGATAAATACTAAATTAACTGACCCGTAACTCCCCCCTAATATCGCTAGCTAAACCATGTTAATATCAAACTAACCGTCATTAAATACGCTATCCAACGATGTATCAAAAGATAAAATCCGATAAATACTTCCGAAACAAATGTCGACGAAAAGAGGAGCGATGAAAAGAACGTCTTGACCCGTTGACCGCCCTGACGCGTCTCAATGACAGAAACAGTAAGATAAAACTTGCTATTCCGTTTTCTTTCTGCATCG